AAGCCATTAGGAAAATTGACAAAAGACTAGAGCAGACACCTTATAAAAATGGAGATCTAAATGAACAAGAAACGTGAACAAGTATTCAAATCATTAATAATCAAATAAATGCAAGATAAAAACACACCACTTTGAAATTGGAACTCTTATGCACTGTTGGTGGGTTTGTAAAATGGTATAATCACTGTGGAAAACAGTATGGAGGTTCCTCAAAAAATTAAAAACAGAATTATCTTATGACAGTCCCACTTCTGAGTATATATCCCCAAAATTAAAAGCAGGATCTGAAGAGATATTTGTACATCCATGTTCATAGCAGCACTATTCACAGTAGCATAGAAGTGGAAGCAACCCAAATGCCCATTGACAGAAGAATGGATAAGCAAAATATGGTGTATACATATAGTAGAATATTATTCAGCCTTATAAAAGAAGAAAAGCCATCACATACTACAACATGGATGAACCTTGAGGACATTATGCTAAGTGAAATAAAAGACAAATTCTATGGGTCAGGTGTGGTGGCTCATACCTGTAATCCCAGCACTTTGGGAGGTTGAGGCAGGAAGATGGCTTGAGGCCAGGAATTCAAGACTAGTCTGGGCAACATAGTAAGATGCCCAGACATCTCTACAAAAAATAAAAACATTATCCAGGCACAGTGGCATACCTTTAGTCCCAGCTACTTGGGAGGCTGAGGCAGGAGGACTGTATGAGCCCAGGAGTTCGAGGCTTCAGTGAGCTATGATCACACCAGTGCACTCTATCCTGGGTAAGAGAATGATACCCTGTTGCAAAAATAAAAATAAAAATAAGTAAACATTGATTTTTATTTATTTATTTTTGTTTCAGCATATTATGGGCGTACACATGTTAAGGTTACGTATATTGCCCTTGCCTCCCCTCCCCCTTTGAGAGAGCTTTAAGCGTGTCCATCCCCCAGTTGGTGCACATCATGATATATGTATATACCCATCCCTTTCTCCTCCCTCCCACCTGCCACCCAAGAAATTTTTTTTTTTAACATTTTGGTTACATTTTATATCTTTGCCTCTCACTAGGAAGGGTTAGAGGTATGTCCTTCCCCTCTACAAAGCTCACCACATCCCTAAGATGTGGCTTAACCCCCGAATCCCTGGTGAACACAGTAAACATTTTTTAAAAAGTCAAATACCAGGCTGGGTGTTGTCTCACACCTGTAATCCTAGCACTTTGGGAGGCTGAGGTGGAGGATTGCTTGAGCTCAGGAGTTCGAGACCAGCCTGAGCAACAGCAAGAACCTGTCTCTATTAAAAATATTAACATAAAATTCTCTGGGTGTGGTGGCACACTCCTGTTGTCCCAGCTACTTGGGAGGCTAAGGCAGGAGGATCGCTTGGGCACAGGAATTTGAGGTTGCAGTGAGCTATGATGATGCCACTGTACTCTACCTAGGGTGATGGAGTGAGACTCTGTCTCAGAATAAAATAAAATAAAATAAAATAAAATAAAATAAAATAAAAAGCAAATATTGTATGATTCCACTTATCTGAGGTATCTAAAGTCAAATTCATAGAAACAGTGAGATGTTGGGTACCAGGGGCTGGGAGAAAGGGACTAAGGAAAGAGAGTTGTTTAATGGGTATAGAATTTCACTTTCACAAGATAAAGTTCTGGAGATCTTTTTTCACAGCAATATGAATATACTTAATACTATCAAACTGTGCACTTAAAATTAGTTAAGATTGTGAATTTTATGTTATTTTTTTTTACCACAATGCAAAGCAAACTCTATACCACTATTCACATTCACCAGAATGGCAAAATAGAAAAGACTAACAATACCAAGTGTTGTCAAGGCAATGGAACAACTTCTGGTCAGAGTGTAAATTGGTATGAACACTTTGAAAAAAAATTGACATTATTTATTAAACTGGAGCATGCATATACTCTGTGACCCAGCAATACATCTACTGCATGTATACTCGACAGAAATGCATACGTATATCTAACAAGGACATGTATAAAAATGTTCATAGCATTTTTTCATTATAGCCCCAAACTGGATACCACCCACATGTCCATTATGAGTAGAATGGATAAATAAGTAGTGTATGTATGCAATGGGTATAACACTGCAATGAAAATGAACAAACTACTGCTACAGGCAAATGGATGAATCTCACAAACGTGCTATTGAACAAAAGGAGCCAGACACAAAAGAATAGAGACTGTATGATTCCATTTATGCAAAGTTCAAATATAGGCAAAAACTAACGTATGGTGTCAGAAATCAGGACAGTGGTTTCCTTTGTGGAGGAGGGAGAGGCTGAAGACTCTAGGGGAAGATCTTCCTTCTTCCCTAGCTTCTGGCGCTTGCCTGCAGTCCTTGGCATTCTTTGGCTTGCAGCCAGATAGCTCAAATCTCTGCCTTTCTGTCTTTATGTGGTATACTTCCCTCTGTTTCTGTTTCTGTGTATCTTCTCCTTTTCTTATAAGGGCACCAGTTATATTTGACTAAGTTCAACCCACAGCAGTTTGCTATCTAGACTCTGAAAATTGATGTCCTTTTTATGCGCAAAATGCATTTACCCCATCCCAACAGTCTTAGTCATTCCGGCATCAACTTTAAATTCAAAGTCATGTCTAAATATTATAATCTCACAAAGTCCCAAATCTCATTTTATATGTTATCTAAATCAGTATGAGTGAGACTCTAGGTATAATCCATGTTGGACCAAAATTCTTCTCCATTCACAGACCTGTGAAACTAGAAAAAAGATGATCTGCTTCCAAAATACAATGGTGGGGCAGACACAGGATAGGTACTCCCATTCCTAAAGGAAGAAATTGTAAGGAAAAAAGGCATCACATCTTCCAAGCAAGTTAGAAACCTACCAAGACAACTCCATTAGACTTCCAGGCCTTAGAATAACATTCTATGACTTAATGCTTTGTTCTTTGGACCTTGCTAGGGCAGCGGCTCCACCTCAGCACACCAGTGAAGTGGCTCTATTTTCTTGGTCCTCAGAGTCATTCTTCCTTCATTTTGTCACATCTCTATTTCTTTCATCTGATGGAATAAAATTCTCGAAACCTTATTGGTCTTCTATGGATGTTAAAGTGATCCACAGTGTTAGACAAAAAGGTTCTCTACAGGTCATTCCTGGATAGCGCCATCTCTATTCCTGGCTTCTGCTGCGGTGGCTGATTGGATCCGTAAATCACATACTGAATCTCTTTAGCAGGAGGTTGTCCAAACAGACTGTTGACCCTATTTCCAGAGCATGATATCTAGGGAGGTTGAGAGTTTTCCAATTCATCAAGTGCTGCTTCCTTTTTGCTTAACAATTTCTTCCTCAATTTATCTCTTTCCTCTTGAATTTTTCAGTGAGCAGCAAGAAAAAACTAGGCCATACTTTCCACACTTTCATTGGAAATCTCCTCAGGTAAATATCCAAGTTCATCACTTATAGTTCTACTTTCCATCACTGAACCGCACAGCACAATTCAGCCAAGTTCTCTGCCACTTTATAGCAAGAATCACTTTTGTCCAGTTTCCTGTAACATCTTTGTAATTTCCATCTGAGACCTCACTAGAAGCACCTTAAAATTCATATTTGTAGCAATAATCTCATCAAGGCAATCTAGGGTTTTTCCAGCATGTGCCTTAAAAATTTTCTAGCCTCTACCTATTTCCTAATTCCAAAGCCACTTCTATATTTTAAGTTGTTACAGAAGCACCCCACGTCCTATTACCAAAATCTTTTTTGGTTTCCTGGGTCTATTGGAACAAAATACTATAAATTGGTGCCTTAAAACAATAGAATTTATAAATGCATAGTTCTGTTGGTTAGAAATCTGAAATCAAGATATCAGCAGGTTTGGTTCCTTCTGAGTTCTCTGAGGAGCAGTCTGTTCTGTGTGTCTCTCCTAGGTTCTGGTGCAGTCCTTGGCATTCCTTGGTTTGTAGATGTATCCCTTAATCTGCCTCCATCTTCACATGGCATTTTCCTTGTGTGTCTCTTTTCTAAGTCATATTATATTAAGAACCCACCCTACTCCAGTATGACCTCTTCTAAATTTATATCTTAATTATATCTGCAATGACTGTGTCAGGGTTGATTTCTGAGGGGGTTTATCCCGGTTCTTTGGCTCCTTGCTTGTAAAAATTGCAAGCAGGGTTGGTGCAAGAGAGTGATGACAGACACTTAGTACTTCCACACAAGCAGCTCTTATTGCAGGCTTTCAGTATACAAAGTGAAAGTACATTTTCTGAGGGGAAACAGGTCTGTTTCCATGAATGGAAAAGATCCTAGGGTTTTACCACATTTCTACTTTTATGTTTATACCTTATTATATGCTAAATGGTAGGTGGAATAGTCATTATTTTCCTGGTGAAAGGGTGGAGAGTTCTTAGAGCTAAGGGCCCTCCCCAATTTTATCCTTATAGGGTAACTTCCAGGGGTTGCCATGACATTTGCAAACTGTCATAGTGCTGGGGGTGTGTGATTTTTACTATGTTAATGTATATTAATGGGGAAAGGTTACTTTTGGACATGAACTCCTAGTTTTTATGTGTGCTCTTGGTGGGGAAAAGTCCCTAAACCTCACTTTCCTGCTGTTGTAGGCTTGGTTCTAGATCCTCATTGGCCTCCTAAATTTTGCCCCCCTCTTCTTTTCCTGTGGTTAGGGCTACCAACCTGCACCTGTTCCTAACAACCCCATTCAAAATAAGGCCATGTTTATAGGTACCAGAGGTTAGGACTTGAACATATCTTTTTTAGAGACAGAATTTAACTCATAACACCTGTTGATGGACATTTAAATTATTTCAATTTTTGGCTGTTGTGAATAAACCTGCTATGAAAATTCATGTACACGTTTTTGTGTGTATGTTTTATTTCTTTGGAAATAAAATGGAATGGAATTAAAGGAATTTCATGCATATATGGTAAGTTTGTTTAACTTTACAGGAAACTACCAAACTGTTTCCAAAGTATTATTATACTATTCCACATTTCCTCTGGTTATGCACGAGAGTTCCATTGCTCTACATTCTTACCAAGGTTGGTATTTTCATTGTTTTTAATTTTAGTTATTCTATTGTTATAGTACTCTATTTCATTGTATTTTTAATGCATTTACATTTTTCTAATGAGTAATGATGCTGAGTGTCATTTCAGGTTCTCCTATGTTCTGCTAATATGGTGAATTGATTGATTTCAAGTGTTAAAAATCTTTGCATTCCTGGAATAAATGTAAAGATTGTGGTTCACTTGATTTCCTAATATTTTGTTGAGAATATTTTAATTTATGTTCATGAGGGTTATTGCTTTGTAGTTTTCTTATGTTTTTTGATTTGGGTATCAGAGTAATACTTCTCTCGTACATTTGAGTTGGGAGCAATTCCAAGGGTTTATGTAAGATTATTTTTAAATGTTTGATAGAAAATTCATTAGTGAAGCCATCTGGGCCTGAAGTTCCTTGTGAAAAAAATTCTAAACTATAAATTTATCATTATTTTTTAGATAATCTAGAACTATTCAATTTTTCTATTTATTTTGTGTGTGTAATGGTAATATCAGTCTTTCATCAAGCTATGTGCCCACTACCTGCATTCTGCTTTTCTCAAGTTCAATTACTCACCCCTTCAACACACTTTTTATGAAATTGGGATTAATGTGAATATGAGTATTAAGAAAATTTTTAGAATTTTGTCTACTCACCTTCTTTCTCCCATAGTATTTCTGAGAAAGCTAGGTTAGACGTCCTACAAATTTCTGAAATCTGTCTCACTTGCCTTTTGACTTCTACTTAACAAATATTATGGCATAAGGTTTTATACTTCTTTGTTTAATTTCTACTGATATGTCCTTTTTGTTTGTTTGTTTATTTTTCATGTTCTTTCTTTATATTTTATTTTATTTATTTCAATCTTTTTTAAAATTTAAGCATATTATGGGGGTACAAAAGTTTAGGTTACATATATTGCCCTTGCCCCACTGTCCCCCAACTGAGAGCTTCAAGTATGTCCATCCCCCAGACAGTGCACATCGTACTCATTATGTATGTATATCCCAATCCCCTCCTGTCCCCTCCCATCTTCCCAACGCCCAATGAATGTTATTACTATATGTGTATTTAGGTGTTGATCAGTTAAAACCAATTTGATGGTGAGGACATGTGGTGCTTGTTTTTCCATTCTTGAGATACTTTACTTAGTAAAATGGCTTCTAGCCCTATCTAGGATAATACAAGAGGTGCTATATCAACATTGTTTCTTTTAGCTGAATAGTACTCCATGGTATATATATACCACATTTTATTAATCCACTCATGTATTGATGGGCACTTGGGTTGTTTCTACTTCTTTGCAATTGTGAATTGTGCTGCAATAAACATTCGAGTGAAGATGTCTTTTTTATAGAATGTCTTTTGTTCTTTTGGGTAGATGCTGAGTAAAATGGGATTGCTGGATCAAATGATAGTTCTACTTGTATCTCTTTGAGGTATCTCCATATTACTTTCCACAGAGGTTGAACTAGTTTGCAGTCCCACCAGCAGTGTATGAGTGTTCCTATCTCTCCACATCCATGCCAACATTTATTGTTTGGTGACTTTTTGATAAAGGTCATTCTCACTGGAGATAAGTGATATCTCATTGTGGTTTTGATTTGCATTTCCCTAATGATTAGAGATGTTGAACATTTTTTTCATATGTTTGTTGGCCGGTATTCTGTCATCTTTTGAAAAGTTTTTGCTCATGTCCTTTGCCCACTTTTTGATAGGGTTGTTTGATTTTTTCTTGCTGATTTTCCTGAGTTCTAAATAGATTCTAGTTATCAGCCTTTTATCAGATATGTAGCATGCAAAAATTCTCTCCCATTCTATAGTTGTCTGTTTGCTCTCATGATAGTTTCTTTGGCTTTGCAGAAGCTTTTTAATTGATCAGGTCCCATTTATTTATTTTTGTTGTTGCTATGATTACCGTTGGGGTCTTCTTCACGAATTCTTTGCCTAGGCCAATGTCTAGAAGAGTCTTTCCAACGTTTTCCTCTAGAATTTTTATAATTTCACAGCTTAGGTTTAAGTCTATGACCCAGCATGAGTTGATTTTTGTGAGTGGTGAAAGGTGTGGATCCCGTTTCAGTCTTCTACATGTGGCTATCCAATTTTCCCAGCACTGTTTATTGAATAAGGATTTTTTCCCCAGTGTATGTTTTTGTCTGTGCTGAAAGCAGTAGCCTCCATCTACTGATATCTTTTTTCTTTCTTTTTTTTGGCCTGTTGTTGTCTTCCTCCTCCCCTTCCTCCCACGACCATCACCCCCTTCCTCCTTCTCCTCCTCCTCCTTATTGTTAGTTTTTCTGTGATCTCTCTTACCTCACTAAAGTCTTACATTAAGAATGTTTTGATTTTTAAATTTTTTGGTATGTTGAACTATTATGTTTTATAGATTACAAACTATTGGTGGACAGAGACATTATCTTATGGTTTTCATCTACTCTGCCCTAGGCTCTGGACACCTAGTAATGACTCAATGACTTGTTGGCTTTCAGTTGATTACAGTATGAATTATAAACTGAAAGATGAATCTTGGTTCATGATCTTTAGATTTTGTTCCAGGTTTTATAGTACTCTCTTACAGGACTGAAGTTTTAATGAGTTTAATGATTGAGAGAAGTGCAGAAACCTATAGTAAACAGCCATTGTATTTCATTATTTTCATTCTTATTTCCATTCTTACACTCTTTATCCTTTTCCATCCTAGTTGTTGGAAAATGCAATTTCTTTCCCTGTTGATTTGGTCCTTGCACATTTAGCAAGTATTGATTCTCCCTTGAACTTTTTTGCTGCATTTGTAAGAGAGCAGAAGCTGAAGAGCTTTATTTTATTTTATTCAAACAAATATTAACATACTAGTTATTTTATAGAAAATATCTAGAATTTTCCCAGCTCTATAGTTTATAATTGCAATTTAACTGTTTCTGCTTTTCAAAAAATAGGTTATGATCCTTTACTAATTTTTTAAAATTACATTTTTATTTACTAACTGATTTTCCACCAAGATGATTGGTAGACTAACATAGCTTTTTCTTATGTTTAGAACAAATAAGATAGAATTAATTTAACACATTTATTATACCATATACATAAAATTTAATTCTAGACTTTGGTTACTTATTTGATCAAAATGGCAAATATATTTTAGTTCAAACTTGGGAGAGAGAAAATCACTGTCTAATGAGTAGGTTGTCATTTTAAGTCTGTAGTCTGAATTTTATTGCCTTGTATTCTTACTTATTTTATATAAACTTGAGTTTGTTCCCTCATTTTTCATTATTTCACTTTTCTTAAAGATCAGCTCATGTTTACTCTAAGGAAATCAGGCAAAATTAAATTGAAATTCTAAGAAGTTATGTTATACCACTATTAGTGTGCTATAATGTTTAGTTAGTCTTAGTTATATTCACAGTGAACCACATATTTTCTAGCATTGTTTTCATTTGTCTCTGGGTGATACAAAATTTGCTTAGTGCTTGCGGAACTCAGTTACTTCATCTATTGATTGGGGATACTTAAAATAATAAATGAAAAAATTGTAACAGATGATTTCTCAAATTCTTTCTAACACATCTGATTATCATTTATATTCTTATATAAATTATTATATAATTTTTTTATTTTTGAAAATAAATAACTAAACTCAAAAAAATCTTAAAAAGTATAATTCTGAATGCACATATTACATGTTAGAGCTAAGAATATTGGATATATTTGGTAAAACACTGGGAGCTTCAGAGAAATTATTAATATATAGTTATTCTTGAAATCCAGGCATGGCCAACTATAATAGTGTAATGGTATCTCTCTAGCCACCTTATTAAAGATGAGAAATATTTCTGAGAAATATTCTCACAGTCACATTTTGAGACAGGGTAATTTCACTGAGTACCAAGTCTAAATACTCTGCTATGGCACTTTTTCAGAGGAGATGAATAAGAGTAAGTTATATCTATCCTGAATTCTCCTAGCTTTATGACGACCTCTTATTCTCAGTCTTCCATATCTGTAAGTTGCCATAGTGCTGTGTGTTGTTTTTGTTTTTATAGGTAGTAAATGGAAAGTTTCCATAATCACCAGTGACTTGCCAAATGCAGGGACCAGCTCACAGATTTATATTATACTATATGGAGAACATAGAAGTTCAGCCCCCATATATCTTTGTGAAACAGATGGAGCTCGATTTCAGGATGGCCATGAAGACATATTTACTGTAAGTAATAAAACTGAATAAAACCTAATATGATATAAATAAATATAAAATAAAACCTTAATATAAGTGATACAGCTGATAGGTACTTTGGAATTAATCCATTTTATGAAATTGGGCTCTTCTTATTATAACACCATGTGCACTGTAGAAGATCAATCAAAAGTAATTTATGGAAGTTTTTGCTCAAGCAGATTTAATACAAGTAAATCTGCAATATGGGAAGAGACAATAGCTAGAGAGAAGTACTAGAGTGTCAATATTTACTGTTTTTATATGGGTAGCTATCAGGAGCAAGGACTTATGCCTTTCTGGTTCTATAGATAAGTCAAGTCAAAAAGGGCAAAATAAAATGATCAAACAAGGACAAAGAAGTCATCAAGTTATTAGTTATTTTTATTAGTTATTAGTTGTTATCAAGTTATTAGACCACCACCAGACACACTGACATCTGGATTTAGAGAGAAATAGAGGTAACAACTATGAAGCAGGGGAGACCAGTACAATGTTGTTAAACTAAAATCAGAAATATAATCAATCAAGGGCAAGGCTTGAAATGGGTCAAGCACCTAGCACTTTATAGGTGCCTAATAATATCTGTTGAATGAGACTGGATTTATGGAAGGATTGGTTTGAACCAGGTGGAGAGAGAGAATAAAATCACAATAAGGAAAGGTGTCCTTCAGTATCTTAAGTCTTCACAGGACAGCCACCTAAATGTGATCCTGGATGTTGGGTTTACTATAGCCCATACTTGGCCCACATATGCCACAAAAGAGGCTACACCACTTGGAACCATTGTTCTCATTAGATTAGTTTAAACTATGCTTTCCATACTTTTTATATGAGTCAATATTTAAAGAAACTCTTTCTTGTGTTGATGGTCACTGCAAGTAAAAGTGAACAATTGACTTCTTTTGCATGAGTAAGTAGTAATTTTAGAAATGACTATACCAAAAAGAGTCTGAGCTGTTTTTGTTGTTTTTCTATTTTAGTGTTGCATGTTTACTTTTAAATTCAGTTATACATTTGCATAGTTTATAGGGCTAAATCATGTTCAGTTCTGCAATATGAAAGGAGTACCTTTAACCCCTCATTCCCATTTCCTTCTCCCACAAGAAACTATTTTCATAGTTTGATGCTGCATTTTTCTGAGTGCTTCTAACTACATTTCAGCTCTTTCTGTTGCCTTGCCCTCTTTGAGTACAGTGTTGAATAAAAGTGGCAAAAACTGGTATCCTTGTCTTGTTCCTGATTTTGGGGAAAGCCTTCAGTTTTCCACCACTGAACATGATATTATCTATGGGTTTTTCATAAATGCCCTTTATCATATTCAGTAAATTCTTTTCTATTCCTAATTTGTTGAATGTTTTTAGTATGAAAGGGTGTTGGATTTTGTCACATGTGTATTTTTTGTATCAATTGAGATGATTTTGCGTCCCCCCATTCATTCTATTTATATAGTATATTACAGTGGTATTCTATGTTGAACCAATCTCTAGTCCTGGGATGAATCTCAGATGATTAGGGTGTATTGTCCTTTTATTATGCTTCTGGATTCAGTTTGCTAGTTTTATTGAAGATTTTTGTATCTTCATTTATAAGGGGTTTTGGTTTGTAATTTTCTCTATTTACATCTTTGGCTTTGTTATCAGCATAATGCTGACCATACATAATGAGTTAAGAAGGGTTCCCACCTCTTCTATGTTTTTGGAAGAGTTTGGGATGAATTTAGTGTGAATTCTTCTTTAAATATTTGGCAGAATTCACCAGTGAAGACTTCAGTCCTAGGCTTCTTTTTATTTGGGAGGATTTTGATACTGATTCAATCTCTTTACTTGCAATAGGACTATTCATATTTTCTATTTCTTCTTGAGTCATTTTTAATGTTTTTTTGTTTCTAGAGATTTTTTCCACTTCATCTAGGTCATCTAATTTGTTGGTATACAGATGTTCATAGCATTCATTACAATCCTTTTTATTTTTGTAAAGTCAGTAGCCATACCCCTGCTTTTATTTGTGATTTTAGCAATTCTCTATTTTTTTCCTTACTTAGGCTAGCTAAAAGTCTGTTAATTTTGTTGACCTTTTTTGAAGAACCAACTTTTGGTTTCATTAATTTTATTGTTTTTATATTCTCTACTTTGTTCATCATCACTCTAATGTTTATTATTTCCTTTCTTATGCCAGCTTAGGGTTTAGTTTGCTCTTTCTTTTCTGTTTCCTTAAGATGTAAAGTTAGGTTATTTACTTTAGATTTTTCTTCTTTTTTAGTGTAGGCGTTTACAGCTGTAAGTTTCCCTCTGACCTCTACTTTCATTGTATTCTATATGTTTTTGTATGTTGTGTTTTGTTTACATTCATTTCAAAGTATTTAATTTTGCTATAATTTCTTTTTTTGACCTATTTGTTGCTTAAGAGTGTGTTGTTTAATTTACACATATTTTTGAATTTTTCGCTTTTCCTTCTAGTATTGATTTCTAGTTTAATTCCATTGTGTTTGGACAAGAGACTCTAGATGATTTGTGTTTTTAAATTTTCAAGACTTGTTTTGTTACATAATGTTATTTATCCTGGCAAATGTTCCCTGTGTACCTAAAAAGAATTTTATGTTGTTAGGTGGAATGTTCTATAGATGTTAGGTCCAGTTGGTGTATATTCAAGTCCTTTATTTCCTTATTATTCTTTTCTCTAGTTGTTTTATCTACTATTCAAGTTGGGTGTTGAAGTCTATTTCTCCATTCAGTTTTGTTAAATTTTATTATTACATTTCAGTGCCTTTGTGTTAGGTGTGCACATGTTTATAGTTTCTGTATCTTTTTGATGAACTAACCCCTTTATCAGTATATGATGTCCTGACCCCTTTATCAGTGTATAATGTCCTGATCTAAACTGCTTTTAAGTGGATTTTGTGAAATTACATTGAAAATTGTTTCCTTGGCTCTTTATAGATCACAGTTGGTGACATTGGAACACTCTTTAAGATTCGTATTGGTCATACCAACTATGGATGCTCACCTTCCTGGCACTGTAAGGAGGTAAGGATATAGCAACACCTTCCCATCCTTTGCAAAATGCTCTGCAAATTTGTCTCAGGAATCAGCTCTCTAGGAGGCATTTCATGCCTATTGTGAGCTGATGGAATCAAACCTAGACCTTTTTAGTCGGTGCATTCTTGAAGGCAGGAGTATCATATGCTGTTATTAATTAATTAATCCATAATTGATTGAGGGAAGCACTTCAACCAAACAATCCTTTCACCTCTCCACAAGGAAAACAAAATTACTGGGACTCTGGATAAACTCATATAGCTTCTTGATAGAGTTGCACTACTGATGAAAAGATGACTAGCTGTGTGTCATTTGCTTCAGAAAGATTGTAAAGATAGACCATTGTGTTGTAATAATCTACTAGATTTGAATACCAGCTCTGAAATTTAGTCTATTCATGCTAAGCAAGATAATGTTCCTTGAGTATTTTTAAGAGGAAAAAAAGAAAAAGAAAGGCCTAAATTTTCTACATTGTTGAGAATGAAAAATTCTCCTTATTGCTATGATTGCCAGTAAATGCAGATATCCAGCATTGGAAATCATCACCAGCTTGTCATCCATTTTTGTGTATAGTGTATTTATATCTTCTGTCACTTCAAAATAAATGATCTGTAACTAAACAAGTTTTCAAAATGCAAAGAAAATGTAGCCATATTCCTAATATTCTTGGAAAACTTGGTCTTCTGTGGTTTATGATATATGAGAAAATTAATTGGAAATTCATGGAAGATGAGTAATTCCTTAAAAACAGATTTGTAAAATTCCATTGGCAGGAATATATAGTTGTTAATAATGCCATCTTCTTTATATTAAAGCTATGAAGGAGTCTGAAGCAGAGTAATAAAATAAAACTCACTTTATGAAAATAGAGAATGAAGAGGTCAGATTTCAAAATTCACAGTTACTGCCTGGCTTCTATGTGAAACAATGCTCTCTTTTGTGCTATATAGAACTTTTGAAGTATGATATTCAAATTAATTCTTAAGTGATCATATATAATAATAATATCTTGTTTGACTCTCAGTAAGCTAAACTAATCAAAATTATCATTCATCCTTATGCCATCTCATTTGATTGATAACTGTTAAGCAAGATTACATTCATTATGAAACTGGGATACTGAGACAACTGTTAGCTTATCTGGAAAGATTATATTGTATTGCAGAGAAATGATATCAAAATCAGGTCTTATAAGAATGGCTTTGAAAACCAATAGTTATTCTTTGTGGTTCTTAGGAACCTTTTCTAAAAGTAACACTGCATTGGAATCACAGTTGATGTGCATTTATAAATGTGAATTTCCACTTTGGCAGGCCAAAGGCAGGAAGATCACTTGAGGCCGGGAGTTTGAGACCAGCCTAGGCAACATAGTGAAACCCCATCTCTACCAAAAAAATAAAAAATTAGCCAGGCATAGTGACACACACCTATAGTCCTGGCTACTCAAGACTAAGGAGGATTTCTTGAGCCCAGGAGTTTGAGGCTTTAGTGAACTACAGTCATGCAACTGCACTCCAGCCTGGGCCACAGAGTGAGACCTTATTTCTAAAAAAAGAAAAAAAGTGAATTGCTGGACCTGTCCAAGACCCATAAATCTTAGTAGGATTATATGCTGAAAATCTACCTTTTTAACAAGGTGATTTTTAAAATACAGTAAAGTTGAAAATCTCTGATTTAAGATATTTTAAAGGGAGTAAGATTAATTTATTAGATAAAATAATACCTCTCTAAAGCTTTTAAAAGAATAATAGTACCCTACTCATGAAGGGCTAAGATTTAGAATCAGAAAACATAATTTCTGCTTTTTGATGATTTTTTACTTTTTTCAGTTTCCACCAGAATTTATTAACATTCTTGTTTAACTCTGGGATAAATAGATATAATATGTTATATAATAGGTACCCAAATAAATAATTATTATTTGTTTTTTATTCATTGCTAGGGATCCAAGGAAGGAACTATATCAGTTTGAATCTGTAGTATATAAAATCTACCTCATGCTAATCTTTTATAAAGTCTCGCTTTCTTGCCTAGGCTAGAGTGAGTGCCGTGGCGTCAGCCTAGCTCACAGCAACCTCAAACTCCTGGGCTCAAGGGATCCTCCTGCCTCAGCCTCCCGAGCAGCTGGGACTACAGGCATGTGCCACCATGCCCGGCTAATTTTTATATATATATATTAGTTGGCCAATTAATTTCTTTCTATTTTTATAGTAGAGACGGGGTCTTGCTCAGGCTGGTTTTGAACTCCTGACCTTGAGCAATCCACCCGCCTCGGCCTCCCAGAGTGCTAGGATTACAAGTGTGAGCCACCGCGCCCGGCCTCATTTAAAAAAATTTCTAAGAGGTGGAAACTATCTCTTTCTAAATAGGAAAATATTAATGACATAAAATTTAGGAGGAAATTGGTATTGTTTGATATAAACATTTCAAAATAGAGAAATTAGAAATAGAGAAATTTAGGTGCAGCTGCTCAAGAGGATTACTTGAGCCCAGGAATTCAAGACCAGCCTGGGCAACATAGTAAGACCTGTCTCTAAAATAAATAAATAAATAAATAAGTAAATAGATAAATAGATACAAATTTTGAGATAGAGAAAAGAAATGCCATTGTACTTGAGATGTCAGTAAAAGAAGAAATTAGTCCTTTTCCTGTCAAGTAATCAATTTCTAATATAAAAAATAGATCTTTGAGCTAGGTGGCAGGCTTGGATAAAAACTTTTGTTTGTCTCTGTGATAAAACATTCCTACATTTTTTGCAAGTAATATTATTGTTATTGTAGATACAATTGCAGAACATGAATTCTGGAAGTCAGTTTTATATACCTGTTCAACGATGGTTGGCACGGGATCAAGAAGATGGGGAAATCTGTCGAGAATTTCCTATTTTAAATAAAGGACACCCTATCCTTCCAGGTAGGGAAGATCCAACTCTAGAACACACATATAAAACTTGTTTCCCTAAATGCTGAAGGACAGGGAACTCAATAAGTATATGTTGAGTAAATGTATAAGTGAATAAATGAATGAATAAGGACTGCTAACTTCTTATCAGCTACCTCTCTGGTGTGGCAGCTGCATCTAAATGCTTTTTAGTTGTTTCACATGCTGGCGTTCAGGAATATGTTCTGGTCAACAGTTAGCCCTGTTAGAAGGTCAGCTGGAATGTCCCTTCATCAAAATAAGGAAATTAATTCTTAAAAGGTCATGACAAAATTGACTGTCAAATGAAGTTACTCCAGGACTAAGAATTGCAAGTCAATGTGTATTTTGCCCACCAGACTCTGCCTTATTTTTGAAAATTTATCTATTTGATCAGGAAATGAAAACACAACTGCTCAGTGACTTTCTAAATGTTTGGCCAGAAGTAGAGATGTGTTCAAGCCTTGTGTAAATATGGCTGAGAGTAGGCTCTTGATCTACTCAGGGTTAGGTAGTCATTGCTCCCCACCACAAGAATTCAGGGTGACTGTCCGTAAGAGCCATTTGCTCTTGGATCTGCTGGCTCAGTTTTGGAAGAGAATGGGATAAGGGTCTATGAGAATTATTAAATGGACAATTGGTAAAAATAGATTTTTCTCCAGTCCAGGCTATGTTCCACCAAAAATGTGATAGGTTAGTTTTCTAAAGAATAAGTAATGGTAAGTATTATCTGACATTAGTCTTAGGTACATACCAACCTGTGTAGCTTTTCGGGGGAACATAAACTGCTGAAAGATTTGCACAGACTCATAATTTGTTTGTGGTTTTTAAATAAGGTGTGAAAAACTCTTCTTAAGTTTCTAGTTAAGATATTTTTGAAAAGACATGAATAGATCTATTTAGGCTTGCATGAACATTGTTTTTTGCCATTTATAACCATTTTTCTCACTATTTATAAGCATTGTTCTCACCATTCTTCCTTTCACCTGAGGAGATATTCACCTGGTGCTGTGTTCTTAGCCACTGTTAATAATGATGCAAAGGTCACTTTTTGCTTTTTTCTCTCTCTATTTTAACTGCAATATTCTCCTCAAAGAAGGCATACTCTGCAAATGTGTACAGATTTTACTTGCTTTCCCTGCTCGGTACTTTTGCTTTATTAATAAATATTTTTCTTTTCAGTTTTTGCACATGGCTTGGTATTCTAACCATACCCTGTCATGTGCTTAAACTTGGCAAGCCTTTAGTTATCAGCAGTACATATAACAAGTGATAACTGACCCTAGCCATATTTTTACCTAGTATTCTAGCAAAGATTGATGCTGTGTCTGAAATGATATCATTGCAGACAAGCAACACCTTCACTAGAGATAGACACACCAGTTCTAGGTGGTACAAATAAGGAAAGCTGGATTAATTTTTTTTTGCCATGTTTTGTTCCTTTAAGCCTATAAAGAGTTACAGTAATATTTGTCATTTAAGGCAAAAGGAACTATAAAAGAGTCTACCTGGTTTATGAGATTACTATCATGTGTTCCTGAAAACATGTGTTTTGTAATTATGGAAAAATTTCTTATAGAGGATAAAGGGTTGCTAAGTAAACTGACCAAAAGTGGGCTTTCTCAGGCTGTGTGAGCTATTTTTTTAAATTTTTATTTTTAATTGTGATAACTAACACAGACATTAAATTTACTATCTTAAACATTTTTTAAATGTGCAGTTCAGGAGTGTTAGTGTATTTATATTATTGTGCAGGAGGTCTCCAGAACTTTTGCATCTTACAAACCTGGAACTCTATACCCATTAAATACTAATTCTCCTTTCTCCCTTCCTTGCCCTTGGCAACCACCTTTCTACTTTCTGTTTCTTTGATTTTAACTACTTTAGATACATCTAATGAGTGTAATCATATAGTATTTGTCCTTTTGTGATTGGATTATTTTACTTAATGTAATAATGTTCTCAAGATTCATCCATGACCTAGCATGCAGCAGGATTTCCTTCCTTTTTAAGACTGCATAATACTTCATTGTATATATATACCATGATTTCTTTATCCATTCATCTTGCAACGGATACTTGGATTGCTTCCACCTCCTAGCTATCATGAATAGTGTTGTGATGAACATAGGTGTACAAATAATATACAAATAATAAATATCTATGAGATTTTACTTTGAATTCTTTTGGATATATACCCAGAAATAGGATTGCTGGATCATATGGTAATCCTATTTTTAATTTTTGAGGAATCTTCATACTGTTTTCATATTAGTTGAACCATTTTACATTCCTACCAATAGTGCACAGAGGTTCCAATTTCTCTGCATTCTCCCCAATGCTTGATTTTTCTTTTATTGATATTGTCCATCCTCATGGGTATGAGGTGGTTTTCCAATGTGTTTCTTTAACAATTAATAATGTTGAATTTTTATAGGCTTGTTGGCTATCTGTATATCTTCTTTGAAGAAATGTCTACTCAAGCTGTTTTTCTATTTTTTAATTGAGTTGTCTGTTTCTTGTTGTTGAGTTGTAGGAGTTCCTTATATTTTCTGGATATTAATCCCTTATCAGATACTTGATTTAGAAATATTTTCTGCAGTGCTGTAAGTTGCCTGCTCACATTGTTGATTGATTCCTTTGCTGTGCAGAAGTTTGTAAGTTTGATGTAGCCCCACTTGTCTACTTTTGGTTTTGTTGCCTGTGATTTTGGTGTCATATCCAAGAAATCATTGCCAAATTTGATATCCTGAAGCTTTTCCCCTGTTTTTGTCTAGGAATTTAATGTATTTAGGTCATATATTTAGCTCTTCAATCCATTTTTAGTTAATATCTATATATGATAGAAGACAAGGGGCCAACTTCATTCTTTTGCATGTGAATATCTGGTTTACTCAACACCAGTTGTTGAAGAGACTGTCTTTCCCTCATTGTGTGGCCTTGGGACCCTTGTTGAAATAATTTGAGCATGTCCTTCAGAATTTATTTCTGAGCTCTCTATTCTATTTATTGGTCTGTCTGTCATTATGCCAGTATTGCACTGCCTTTATTATTATTGTCTGGCAGTATGTTGTCAAATTAAGAAGTGTGAAGCCTCTCACTTTGTTCTTCATCAAGATTCTTTTGACTATTTGGGGGTCTCTTGACATTCCATATGAATTTTAGAATTATTTTTTCTATTTCTATAAAAAATTCTGTTGGGATTTTGGTAGGAATTGCACTGAATCTGTAGATTGCTTTGGGTAATATGGACATTTTAACAATATTAAGTCTGAGGTTGCTAAGATCTACAGTAAGAATGCATCTTCTATTCATGAAATTGTGCAGTTTATTGTTGAAGTTGTTCTGTTTTAGTATTAGTTATTGTTGTTAATCTCTTACTGTGCCTAATTTATAAATTAAACTTTATCATAGGTACGTATGTATATAGGAAAAAATAGTGTATATAGAATTTGTTAGTACCTGCAGTTTCAGGCATCTACTGGGGATCTTGGCCCATATCCACTGTGTATACAGGGAGACTACTATACTTAATTTTTTGTTACAAGTAGTGCTTGGTACCTAAAACTTATTTTTCTTTTGTTGCCAGTGACAATATATGAAGTGTATGTGGCAACAGGTGAACTATGGAATGCTGGAACAGTAGCCAATGTCTACATTTCTATCCATGGGGAAAAAGGAGATACAGGATCCAGACAACTATTTAGATCAAAGAGCTCCTTCAACTTTTTAAGAGGACAAGTAAGCAAAAAGTTCTTTTTTTATTTTAAAAAGATCAATAGTAGCAAAAATACATAAAATTTACCATCTTAATAATTTTAAGTGCACAGTTTAGTAGTGTTAAATATATTCACATTGTTGTACAATAGCTACTCATAACTTTTTCACTTCCAAAACTGGAGATCTATTACTATTAAATAACAACTCCCCATTCCCTTCCAGCCCCCTTCAGTCCCTGGTAACCAACATTCTACTTATTCTACTTTCTGTTTCTATATGTTTAACTACTTTAGATACCTCATATAGGTGAAATCATTTAGTAATTGTCTTTTTGTGAATGGCTTATTTCACTTTAGCATAATGTTCTCAATCATGTGACAGGATTTCCTTTCATTTTAAGGCTGAATAATATTCTATTTTTTGTGTGTATATGCACATATACTACGGTACTACATTTTATTTATCAGTTCATCCATTAATGGACATTTGGATTGCCTCTACCTCTTGGTGATTGTGGATAATGCTATTATTTACATGGATGTGCAGATAGCTCTTTGAGACCATCCTTTCAATTATTTTGAATATATATCCCAAGAGTGGGATTGCTGGATCATATGGTAGTTTGTTTTTAATTTTTTGAGAAACTGCCACACTGCTGAGTCTTGGAGGATAGCTACTGTAAGTGTTCCTGCACCCATTTAAAATTGCCTGTTCTATATGGTCCTAGGGAACCCTCAGATGCTGAACCCCTACATTCCCAGAGCTAGGTGATTTAGGAACCAATCCTTTAGGTGAGAGCTATAAAGTAGGGGTGCTGTACGTGTAGACAAACTCTTTCCAAGGAGAAGCTGGAGACTTGGATTTGTTGTTGCTGTGAGCTAGGGTGAAAAGGCCTGGGAAGTGCCCACATGCCCCATTCAGGCTCTGGGAAGCTTACTAATTATCTGCCTCGTAGATTCCCAGATGCAGATAGGTAGAATCCTGATCCTCCTGATCCCAGACAACAGCTGGGATTGTATGCAGTCAAACCCCTTCCAGGGAGAAAGTGGGAGTTAGACATTTTACTCTGCTCACTTTGCTGACTCCGGGGAGATAGCTGCCTGTTTAAAACCATCTCCTTGTTTTCTGTGGTTCCAGGGGATTTCAAATGCTGAGCCCCATTCACTTCCAGAAGTAGTCGATTTAGAGGGCAGTACTTTGGGTGGCATCCATAAAAGTTGGGGTGCTATATGTGTGGTCTAAACCAGGCATCCTCAGACTATGCCCTGTAGGCCACATGCGGGTGTTTTTGCCCATTTGTTTTTTTACTTCAAAATAAGATATGTGTAGTGTGCATAGGAATTTGTTCATAGTTGTTTTAAGCTATGGTCTGGCCCTCCAACGATCTGAGGGACAGTGAACTGGCCCCCTATTTAAGAAGTTTGAGGACCCCTGGTCTAAACACTTCACTCTTTAGGGAGAAGCTCCTGACTATGCAGTGCTATTTCTGGGGCGTGGCTTGTGGCAGCTTTTCCTGAGCTTGTCTCAGCTTTTCCTACCTGTTTCAATGTGTATATTTTCTCAGTTGCCATGTGTGTAGGAGTCACTCTGTAAGTTTCTGGATTTCTCTCCAAGGGAATTGATGCATTTGTAGGAGTTTATTCAGTGTATCCATGGAAGGATTGAAAGTCAGAAGCCTCTTATTCTGCCATCTTGTTGACATCACCCAACCCAATGATTGTTTATAGAATTCATTCTTTAATTCCTACATATTTATGAATATTCTGTCTCCTACTGTTGTTTTTTGGTTTTGTTCCACCATGGCTGGAAAAGATACTTTGTATGGTGTTAATTTTCTTAAGTTTGTTAAGACTTGCATGTGACTTAACGTGTGATCTGCCCTAGATAATGTTCCTGTCGGTTCCTATTGAAGAGTGTATATTCTATTGTTTGATGATTCTGTATATGTGTTGGGTCCAATTGGTCTAATGGTGTCGTTCAAGTCTACTGTTTTCCTTTTTGATCTTTTGTTTTATTCTCCTACCCATTATTGAAAACGGGGTATTGAAGTCTCCTATTATTATTCTGTTGATATTTCTCCCTTCAATTCTGTAAATGTTTGCTTCATATATATACGCGAACTCTGATGTTAGGTGTATATTTATTTATAAATGTTATATCTTCCTAGTGAATTGACCCTATTATCATTATATGATATTTTTCTTGGTCCCTTGTGACAGTTTTTGACTTAAAGTCTGTTTCGTCTGATATAAGTATGGACATTCCTTCCCTATTTAGCTTCCCATTTGCATAGAATGTCTTTTTCCATCTTCTCACTTTTAACTAATGTATGTCCTTAGCTCTAAAATGAGTCTTCTGTAGGCAGCATATAGGTAGATATTATTTTTTTTAATCCATTCAGCACATCCGTGTTTTTTGATTGTGAAGTTAATCCATTTACACCTAAAGAAAGTACTGATAGGGAAGGACTTAACTATTGTCATTTAACTGTTTTCTGTATGTCTAGTAGCTCCCCCCAATCTTTCTTATAGCCTTCATTTGTGTCTCATTGATCTTTTTTGCAGTGACCTGCTTTCCATTTGTTTGTATTCTATAGATATTTTCTTTATGGTTACCATTGTGATTATATAACACATTTTAAAATATCGTATTCTGTCTTAGACTGATAACAGCTTAACTTCAATTGCGTACAAAAATTATACTCCTTAATAGCCTCACCCTCTAGTTTGTTATTGATGTCAGAAATTACATCTTTATGTATTGTATACCTGCCTTTGTCCTTTAAATTCTATACAAGAATTAAAGTGGATTTATATATCAAAATTACAATAATACTAGTTTCTATGTTTGCCCATGTAGTTTCTTTACTGGAGAACTTTATGTTTTTATATGGCTTCAGTTGTTATCTAGTGTCCTTTCGTTTCAACTTGAACAACTCCTTTAGCACTTCTTGTATTATGGGTTTAGTGGTAATGAGCTTACTCCGTTTTTTTTTCTTTTTCTTTTCTTTCTTTCTTTGTTTGTTTCTTTGTTTGTTTGTTTGTTTGTTTGTTTCTTTTTTTTTTTTTTTTTTTTTGACAGGATCTCACTCTCATCAGGCTGGAGTTCAGTGGCCGGAGCATAGCTCACTGCAGCCTTGAACTCTTAGGCTGCAAAGCAATCATCCAGCCTCAGCCTACCCTTCCCAAGTAGCTAGAACTATAGGTGTGTGCCGCTATGCCTGGCTATCATTTTAAAATCTTTTTCGTAGAGACAGGATCTCTATGTTATTTAGGATGGTCTCAAACTCCTAGCCTCAAGCCATCTTCCTGCTTCGGTCTACCGAAATGCTGGAATTACAGGCTTGAGCCTCTGGACCTGGATTTTTTTTAATCTGGGAAAGTCTTAATTTCTCCTTCAGTTTTGACAATTTTTCCTTATATAGAATTCTTGCTTGATGTGTTTTTTTTTTTTCTTTCAGTACCTTGAATATATCATTCTACTGCCTTCTAGCCTGCATGGTTGCTACCTAAATCCACTCATAATATTATAGAATCTTCATCATACTTGATTAATTGCTTTTCTCTTGCTGCTTTCAAGATTGTCTCCTTAACTTTGAGAGTTGATAGTTTGGTTATAATGTGTCTCAGTGTGGATTTCTTGTGCTTTATTTTAGTTGGAATTTTTTAAACTTCTTGAATTTATATGTGCATTTTACTCCTCAGATTTTGGAAGTTTGGGGTCATTAGTTTTTCAGAAAAGATCTCTGCCCCTTTCTCTCTCTCTTTTTTCCGCTTTAAATTGACATAATGCATGTATTGGCCTGCTTTATGGTATCTCATGAGTTCTAATGCTCATTTCACTCTTTTTCATTCTTTTTTCTTATTGCTCCCCTATCTTAATGATTTCAAATGACTTGCCTTCAAGTTAGCCGATTCTTCTGCCTTCTCAAATCTGGTGGTTAAACCCTCTAGTGAATTTCTCGGTTCAGTTATTGTATTTATCAGCTCTAGAATTTCTGTTTAGTTCTTTCTTAGTCTCTGTCTTTTGTTGACATTCTCATTTTATAAATGCTGTATTTTCCTGATTTCATTTAGCTGTCTCTCTCTGTTCTCTTTTGCTCATTTAGCATCTGTAAGGTAGTTATTTTACATTTTTATCAGGAAGTTTAGACATCTGTATTTCTTTATGGTTGTTTCATGGAGCTATTTGTTTCTTTGATTGGGCTATGTTTTCCTGTGTCTTTGTAGGCCTTGTCATCTTTTGTTGAGAGTTAAAAGAAAACAACCATACCTCACAGTGTTTATGGACTGGCTTTGTACAGGGGAAAACTTGCACTAATCATCTTAGGAGGAGGTTTAGGACCTCTCAAATCTTTTCTGACAATTGTCTTCTCTGGGCTTATGTGTATGTTTCTAACTATCTTAATTTCCTTAAGTGGTTGCTCCTGTTTCTTATCTGGGGCCCACAATCTCTGGCTCTCTTGTCATCTGTCTGCCATACTAGAATCTGTGTAGCTCTAACATGCTACAGAGCTGGCTTCTGTTTTCCAGGCTTCCAAACTATGTTGTCATTCTTGTCATGGCTCCAAGTCAGAGGAGACATAAACCAGTCTCTCAGGAGGCCTTCACACAAGATAGAATTTTGGATGTGTGGTCCACTCTTTTGTATCTGTCCTGGGGGAGGATCTTGGATTTGGGAGATTCTCTTCCTATTACATTGTACTATGCCAGGTAGGGGTAGAGCATGGACATGGGCATGTAAAATGCCTTGAAATTTTCTACCCTTTTTGGATGGAGTCCCTTCTTGGTTATGCATTGGCCTGGGTGCTGCATCTTTCACGGGGTCTCTAGAATTCTCAAGAAAAGTATTCTAGCCCTTATGTTATTGTCAATTTAGTATTTCCTGGGATGAACTGGGGCCCAGAGTTTTCTAGTCTGCCATTTTGTTGACATCTCTCCCTCCTTTGTGATTTTTAAACTGATCCTTATATTGTTAAATGTGGATAATTATATATAACAACTTTTGTTATAGAATATAGAAACTGAATGCATATTATTTTATTATTATTAATATTGATATGCATATTATATTTAATTTTTCTTTCTCTCTTTTTTTTAAACTGAGTAAAGCATGGAGGGTTTACCATATTTTATTTATCTCAGCTTTCCTTGACGATCCAACTAGTTCTTAGTGAGTATGCCAGGATATTTTTATTGTTTCTTTCCCCTCTTTTTCTTATAGTTCTATAAGTCAGTTATCATAAATATTATAACTCATAATTTTCTTTGCTAATATTTTCTGTTATTGTATAGAGAATCCTCCTGTTATGCCAGACCTAATTGGTAGATAAAGGGATATCAATAGTACCCATTAACCTGTACCAGGAATGAAGAATATTTTTTTGTTAATGAATGCTAATGGTTTTATTTCCCATTATTGATACTCTTGCTAGTTCACTTAAGTAGAGACAAAGTGGTTCAGAAGGAAAATAGTCTTACTACATATCAGAGTAGGTGAGCTCTAATCCTGGATCTGTGTCTCACCATTCTTGTCTGTGGAAAGGATTTTTTCCTCACTTAGCAATTTTTAAGGATAAAATAAAAGTATGTAAAAATGTGTTGAAATGTATGGTACACTATATAAATGCAAAATTAATTGTTTGCTTTCATATTTTTAATGGATATGCTACATCATCTATTTTTTTTTCTTTTTTTGCATTGAAACCTATAGCATTATCTTAGATTTTATCAAAAGTATTCTGTGCCCCTCACTTTTAATCCATATTCTGACTATATTAAAGCGCTGGAGCATGACTATGGCTCCTTTTTATTGTAGCAGTAAATTTGGGGTTCCAGATAAATGTTATGACTTTCAAATACTTTTTTGTATCAGTATCCTAAACTTACTCCAGAGGTGTTATATTTGCATATCGCCCATAAACATGGCTGAAAAAATTTTTATCCTAGGGCAGATAAGACTTATTTGCATTGACCTGACTGTAAACTTTTAGTATATTTTATAATTATTATATTTTTACTATGATTATTTGAAAAATGTAGTCACAAAGGGTCCCCAAATATATTCTTTTATAAATAAAAATTGGCAACAAAGAAGAAGGGGGTATATTTGGAAACATTATTATTTTCTAGAAATTAATATTATCATTTTGCCTGTGCTTTCTTAATATAGACAGATTTGTATATTTGCTTAGTGAATCTACTTCTTTTTATAGTCAGTCTTTACTGCATCTTAATTTATATTTTTGGTAGAAATTAGAGATATTGTCTAGATCTAAATATACCTTTTTGATTGGTTATAGACGGACACCTTTCTCCTTGAAGCTGTGCACCTTGGAGATTTGTACAAGATTGTGATAGGCCATGATGGACTTGGCCCAGGTAAGGCTTTTCCATGGAGAATTAATGAAGGTCTGATTTTATTCTATTTATGTGAAACCTTGTCCAAATCTAGAAAATACTGTGAAAAACTTGTAGAAAACTGATCTCTAAGTATTGACAGTCTAAAATCAAAATATTGTCCCTAATGTCCTTTAAAATGTAACTAGATGTATTTTTCTTCCAAATGACATAGGCTTGGCCAAGAAGATAATCTAGGATAGGTCTACAATGCTAGACAGAGTGATTCAAAAAAATAGAGGGAATTTGGTATTTATATACTGTGGCATGTGGTAGCATTTCATAGGCTAGTAGTGGAGGCATCAGTAGTTTCTCCTGGAGGTGATATTCTGTAAGGACTAGTGATTGTCCAGCAGTGGCATGGTAAGGAGACTGCCCTGGCAGTGGGGTCTCAGCTGTGATTTCTGCTACAACTTTGTTCATGTTTCTTCCCCAGTTTTCCTATCAGCTCTGTGAGATGACTCACAGCTTCCCAATAAATTCATTTTCTGTTACTGCATAAAATAGCCATAAGATAAGCAAAATCCATTTAACAGCAGACAGAATACTCAAGAGCACATACTAAAAAAGGATAAAAAAACCAAAAAGTATAAAACAAGATACTAAATTTTCTTACTAAGTAGTGTCAAAGTATAATTTTCAAAATGTTAAGAATGAGTTTCTCATATAATACAGAGTGAACATGTGTTTAAATAATGAGAGAACTAGCAGATTGACAAAGCTATTTCAAAGGTTATAAGGAACTAAAACATATCTACATATAATCAGGGAAAACAAAAAGAATAGCGAATAAGATTGATAAAGTAAATAAAAAAAATATGAAATATTGTATAGATAATAAAAGTATACCTTTGAGATAGTCTTCTGTCTTGGACAAAATTCATTTATATTTGACCAGACATAAACCATTTCCATCTTATTTTTTGTCAGTTGATAGCTAATTTTACAAAGTCTGGGCCTGAATCCGTAGTAAGTATTAAGTTAAATAATGTTACATTCTCACAGTGAGTCAGATGACTCTCAGGCAAGCTTGTCAGTGTTCTACTACAACACTGAAAAGACATGTAGTCATCTTTTGGCCTTATTTCTGGGTTTTTGTTAATTTTTCTAAACAAAGGCAAAAATGCTCAGCCTGAAAAATTCTCATGTCCAATTATATGTTCTATGTAAGAGACACACTTAAAATAAATGGCTCAGTAATAATAAAAAGAAAAGTTTAGGTAGTGATATATCAGAAATATGTAAATAAAACAAACAATTTTAGTTATAATAGTAATTTACAAAATAAAGTAAAACTCAAGGCAAAAAGCATTATAAGGCACAAGGAGGGTAATTTTTTAAATAATGTTTATGATTCACAATGTGATTATATCATTCATGAGCTTTTATTCAGTAGATAACATTGCTAGTAAAAATATAAATTAAAGTCCTCTTAGATAATCAAAAAGAAATGAACAGAAGATAGAATGGGATTTTATCATATGTCTCAGATTTTGGCAGGTTAGTCAGGTACTTCTGTTACTTTCTTCAAGTATTTGTAGTGTGTAGGCAGAGAAATACTTTCATTTCCAAGCTCCATGAAACACTTTTACAATTTGACTCATGTATTAGGCCAAAAAGGAAATCTGAATAAATTTCCCAAAATTGGACTGCATTCTCTGACCACAATTTAATGAAACCAAAATTTATTAAAAAAAAAGGTTGAAGTTAAAAAAAATTCAATCACTTAGGTATTTCAGTACTCTCCATAATTTGGAGCCAAAGTGGAAATCAAAATTGTAATTACAGTCTAACAGAATGTTACAATGGTATTTTTTCTGTCTCATTTTGGGCTTAGGTCGCAAAGGACTAGAATAAAATAATAGGAAACAGAGTCTAACCATCTCTTTTAGTTTGTTCTAGGCTGGTATAACAAAATATCTTAGACTGGGTAATTTATAAAGTACAGAAATTTATTTTTTACAATTTTGGAGGCTAGGAAGTCCAAAATCAAAGTCCTGGCATTTGCAGTTTGCGTTGTCCTCCCTTGGCAGAAGGGCAAAAAGGGCCTAGCTAGTTCCATTCAGCCCTTTTATAAGGGTACTAATCTCATTCATGAGGGCTGACTTAATTACCTCCTAAAGGCCCCACCTCTTAATAGTATCACATTGGGTCTTAGGTTCCAACAGATGAATTTTGAGAGGGACACATATATTCAAACCCATCCCAGCACCATCCCAAATGTAGGCACAAGGCCACATATATAGGACTTTTGAAGGAACAACAAATTAGGGGTTCGCTATTGAGTATAAATGGTATAGGTTTTTGTTATAGTAGGTCAGCAGTTGCTGTGATATCTGTATAACGCCCAGCAATAAGAGAGGGTGGAAGGTGTTTTCCTATATGAAGAAACCACTTGAAGAACCTATGCCATCTAGAATTTGTTACATGACTCCTACCTGAATAACAGTCTATAGGCTGCCCAGTGGCCTTTGGCCATGAAGGAAGGGAGGCCTGGAGAATAGTCAATGTAGAATTTTAGGCAGATAATCAGAGCAGATATTAAGGTTAATGATCCCTAGAATAGAGGTCTTCAAAGAACCCACCAAACTCTTCATAGTCTGCTTTTAAATATCTGTTAAACCAATATATATGTAAACAATGCCAGTTAAATAAGACTTTCCTAGATTATTACCTCTTCTCTTTTCCCATCCGTTTTATCCTATTTCTAACTTGGAAGGGTCAAAAATCATGATCTGAGTGCTTGGGGTTGAGGAGGAGGTAGTATTAGGTTGAGCATCCCAAATCTAAAAATCCAAAATTTGAAATGCTTCAAAATTTGAAACTTTTTGAGTGCTGTCATGATGTTCAAAAGATATGCTTATTGGAGCACTTCAGATTTTGGATTTTCAGATTTGTCATGCCTAACCAGTAAGTATAAACACAAATATCCTCAAATAAGAAAAAATCTGAAAACTGAAATACTTCTGGTCCCAAGCGTTTCAGATGAGGAATATTCAGCCTGCATAAGGCAGGAAGAAGAAGTCAGCCTGGGAGCTTGCCCACCTCCGAAGGTTTCAGAATTGCAGATGGGGGAGGGGAGACATTTTATCTTTACATGAAATTTAGAGTTTTGATAGTTTCATGGGATTGGTCATTATAACCGTTGAAATGTGTCCAGTTTTGTGATAAAAAAAAAAAAACCCAATGGACTTTTTATCTGAGAGTGACCAGAAAAATCACAGTACGTGTTCTAGATTTCATTCAAGGAAGGGAGGAAAAGGAACAGTTCTGTGAATAGATTTACATGGATAGAGGTGTGAAAATAAATATTTTTTGTTCCCTGTGGAATTCTGGTCTTTTAGCATAAGGACTGTATCATTGACTATTTAGAAAATAGTAGTACAATTTATAAAAATTCAAAGCCATATTCAAAGTCTCACTTTCAGTATTGTTTAGTAGGAAAAAAAAGAAAACCTCTTTTCTCTATGCTCTCAACACTCAACATTCCTGTGACCAAATGTGTAGGATTCCTCTCCAATGCCTCACAATAAGTTGGGTGTCCTATAATTTAATTTAATTTTGACAGTATCTACTGGAGTTAATGTCAGATCCCACAGGTGAAGGGATCAGTGCTACAAGACTGGCTCCTACTTCAGATATCAATCACAAATCTAGCCCTCCAGAACTTCTGACCAATTGGCTATAAATTGGTGGTTCCCATGACCCCCTCCTCAACTTTAGTCATTTGTTAGAGCAATTGACAGAACTCAAGGAAACACTAACACTTATTGGTTTATTATAAAAGGTATCATAAAAGATATAGATGAACAGCTAGATGAAGAGGTACATAGGGCAAAGTGTATGGGATGGTGCATGGAGCTTCCAGGTCCTCTCCAGGTGCATCACCTTTCCAGCAAACTGGAAGTTCTCTGAACTTTGTCCTTTAGGGTTTTATGGAGGCTTTATTACATAGCCAGGATTGATTAAATCATTGGTCATTGGTGATCCAGTCAACTTTCAGCCCTTCTTTCCTCCTCTTTTCCCCCAGGTCTGGAGGGGGAACTGAAAGTTCCAACCCTCACATCAGTGTGGTTGGTTCCTCAGGCCACCCAGATCCCTCCTTGAGGCTAAGGCTAATCAGGAGCAGCAGCCATTAGTCATCTCATTAGCATACAAAAAGACACTTAATTATTTTGGCAATTCCAAAGATTTTAGGAGCTGTATGCCAGGAAACCAAAGAAGAAGGGAAGAAGACCAAAAAATATATTTCTTATTGTAAATCACAATGAGAAGTATTAATAAAGAGAAAATAAAAATAAGTGAATTAAACACTTCAAAAAGGTATATAAAGCATAAGGAAATATTGAGAAAATTATGAGGAAGAAAATAAAGATACAAATAGAAATCAAAGACAAAATATAGAAAAACAGAAGAATTGACATCACTTATAAGAACTGGTTCTTAGGGAAAAAAAAGCTGACACATATAAACCAGACACTGAAAAATCTGATAAAAAAGATAGTCACTGGGTATGGTGGTGCACACCTATAGTCCCAGCTACTTAGGAGGCAGAGGTGGGGGGATCACCTGAGCCCAGGAATTTGAGACCACCTGGGCAGCATAGTGAGATCCTGTCTCTAAAAAAATTAAAAAATAAAATAGAGAAAGAAAATATATCCCAAAATTAGATAAAATAAGTAAATATACATGGGTTATAAAATGTTTGAAAATACTATATTCAGTTTTAGTCTAATAAACTTTATGAAAAGGATGACTAAGAAAAATCAACCCAAGAAATTTGGCCTGATAAATTATGAGTGACCCAAGAAAGTAAATATGATTCAATATTGACCCAAGAAAAAGTAGAAAATAAGAATGGTCAATACAAATAAATTTTTTAGAAGGCTTAATTATGTCCAAAAAGTTCTGGCTGTGTTTGAATTTATGAGTACTTGCTCTAAAATGTTCAAGAGGCAGACCGTTCCAGTGCTATCTAGAAG